ATGTCTTCAAATTGTCTGCTTTGTCTGACAAACAGTCGCAAACTCCAAATAATTATTTTTTGAAAAATCCAACAAAAAATAAATACAAATACTATATATTCTCTACCAGGTGCAAACTAATCTTCACTAAGGAATGGCATAAATGCACATACATAATAGTGCACAGACATTAAAAATAAGTTGTAGTATAATGTAGAGATGTATAAAACAGGACTTGTTATCAATAGCATCAACGGTTAAATACCAGTCCAATAAATACTGTTAAATAATCATTTATTTTGGACAATGGAGGATTTACCTGTTGCAAACTTTGAGTTGAAGCCCTGCAGTAGCTTGTACCTGTGTAAGCAGTCAGCTATCACAGCTGAATACAAGTGTCCTAAATGAGGAGAGGCATTGACATAGAAGATGGGGGTCGTTATGTAGTAACTCCTGTCGTCTTTGCAGGAAACCGTGCTTGAATTGCTCAACACAGAGATCGTCTGATGTCTGTATAGAGCTGAAACCGGTGAGACAAATGCACTTTGTTGCAGTCTGTGAATAGCCTTACAGCTTCTAGTGACAAGCAGAAAAGGGGTCCTCATCTTTGGAAAGCATGCGATTTTCACGTGTAGAAAACCAAACGAGTGAAGAAATTATTTGGTAAGTGCTAGCCATTCGTTTAGCTAGCTACAATGGGAAGTTTTTCGCACTAAAACAGATCATCTGAGAAACACAACAACTGTCGAGACAAATACTGGTAGTCCTAGTTAATGTTACCGATTCATTTTGACAGGAATCATTCAATGCAAGGCTTTTTCCTTCATACCAAAAGCACAAGAGTTTTGGTCGCTTGTCAAGGTTAGCTCTTCTTCCGGTTTCTATAAAGAACAATCCCTTGCCCAATCAAAACACGTTATAGTGCGCAACGATCACCAATCAGATTGCGAGGGCTCACTTTGCATCATTCTGCTCATTGCTCAACCTTACTTTTTCAGATGTTACATTTAGATAGATAGATAGAATCGGAGGGATGAAACCCTCTTTAATGGTCGCACATGCAGAACACACAGCACACACAGTGACATTTGATTTCACATTCAGCCAACCTGCAGCAGTTTTAGGAGACAATCATTAAGCCCATGGGTGTGCACATTTGAAGGAACAGGGGAAGTTCCTTTTCTTAAAATAACTTTATTGGAATAGTACAACAATTGTAGGACAGTGACATAATGAATATCCCACTATTATGTTTGCTGGGTGAGCAAATAGTTTCCATATTCGCCAAGGGTATCAGGCACCAATTACTTTAGGGTAGGGCAGGGCAACAGACTAGTCAAAAAGTGCAATTTCCAAAAAAAGGCAATTTATTTTCATCATCTGCTATAGCAGACCAAATACACACAGATGGGTAGTGTATATTAACGGCAGTAACTTATATTATGTCTACAAAACTAAAGTAAACCTCCATCATAATACAAATGGATGGAATGTGCATGGAGACCATAGATGGAGACGCTAACGGGGCTCGTCGGGGCGGGACCTGGCACGTGACTGGTGCGCGGCTCTGTAAAACACAAAGCCACGCCCATCTTCATGAAAGTTTTGAGGAAGTCCCGTGACGGCCAGCCAATCAGCTGATCCACCTCCTGATGTCAGGTAACGACGACGAATGGGGTTGACGTGACAACAGCGGTAAAACATTAAACAGACCGTCATTTTAAGCGGCATTTTAATATGGTATTAAAGTGAATAAGTAAAAAAATAAGTCAGGTTAGTCGCTAGTTATAATTGTCATGGTATCTCTCGCGGTCTTCAGTTTCAACATCGTTGAAAGTCAGTGAGACTGAGTCAGCCCATCATGTGATGTTAACCATCGGGTGACTTCTGTTGCTCCTCGACTAAATGAAAACAGTTATTTACGAAAGCAACACTGTATTCTGTTTCAGATGGACGGGAACCGTAAGGATTTTTACATCGGTCTCTCTCTGGCTGTGGCCTCCAGTGTTTTCATCGGTACAAGTTTCATCCTAAAGAAGAAAGGCCTGCTGCGATTGGCCAGCAAGGGTTCAATACGAGCAGGTACTGTGATCTTTATCAAAATTCAACACAACTTTATTTATAAATGCTTTGGGTGAGAGTACCATTATGGTGGTTTGAGAACTCTATTTGTATGCAGTGCGGAAGTACCACGGTGAAAAGTAAAAATGATCAGAGAAATAGTACAAACCATGTCCAAAACTTCTCTATAACTAGACTCAACTAACTCATGATGTTGAAAGTTGCTCTGACTGATAAAGTCATGTAACTCTTGCAAAAACTACGATTAGCCTATGAGAAACAGAAACTGTTGTTCAGGCTCTTACATTGGTTGTGAAATTATATTAATTAACAAAAGTGCTATTTGTTTAAGATTTGTTTTGTTTTATATTTGTGTTGATATTGTTGTATAATTAACTGTATATATTTTTGCTATCCAAATAATGGTCACCTGCAAGGACAAGGGTGTAGGAGGGTTACAATTATGTGTTATCTATTCAAACATTCAAATGTCTGTATTCTTGTGATGTAAAACTTAACTAAATGTGTTGTTTTTTAAGTAAAATTAAAGCAATAATAGTGTCAAAGAACTGCCCCTGTCAGTGTCACTAGCCTTAAGGGTTGACTTTCCTTGGGATATGAAGTGTGTTTATTGTTTAGGAAGCTAATTACCGTCTAACATTGAATCAGTTAGAATATATTTTATGTAAGAAATGTACATTTTGATACGAAATGTACTTCAGCTTTGTTTTCTGTATCTCACAGGTCAAGGGGGGTATGCTTACCTGAAGGAATGGCTATGGTGGGCAGGACTTATTTCAAGTAAGTGAACAATTGATAAATTTAGTTCTGCAAAATGTGTGATAGTGTCAGCTGCTATATGTTGCTTGTTAACACCAGCCATGGACAGAAACATTGTGGTCTTTGTCTTTCAAAGTGGAAATGAGGCTGTTGTGGGTTTGGTATTTTTGCTGGCGACGTTGCTGTTGATGCAGCACCCACACTATCTTTGAAGCACACATTCCTACAAAGAGCACATTTGCACGTGGGTTGAAAGACAATACTCTTTTCAACCTTAAACCACCATCGGCTATGAATTTGTTAACACTGATGGTCATGTTTATATTCTAGTGGGAACTGGAGAGGCCGCCAACTTTGCTGCATATGCATTTGCTCCGGCCACACTGGTGACTCCTCTTGGAGCATTGAGTGTACTTGTAAGGTGATTGTTTTTTTCTTGTTGCAATTTTTCATGGCACTGATGAATCAGATACTTCTATGTATCCCTGGACTGATCTTTTTAATGTGTAGTTTCAAATGTGCGTTAACTCTCTGTGTCTTCATAATTTGTTTTCCCTTACAGTGCGGTGCTCTCCTCTTACTTTCTGAATGAGAGGCTGAATGTGCATGGGAAGATCGGCTGTTTGCTGTGCATCTTGGGCTCCACAGTGATGGTGATCCATGCCCCACAGGAAGAGGAGGTTGTCTCCCTCAGTGCTATGGCTGAGAAGCTCAAAGACCCTGGTAGGCCCAGCCCTTCATCAGTGTGATCTCATTAACCATGGTGTGACAGATTGTCTTTTCAGGGTACTAACTCATTCTTGAATGCTCCCACTAGGTTTCATTGTGTTTGCTGTGTGCGTTGTTGGAAGCAGCCTGGTTCTTATCTTTGCCATGGCTCCGCGGTTTGGACAGAAGAATGTGCTGGTCTACATCCTGATCTGCTCTGTGATTGGCTCACTGTCTGTGTCTTGTGTCAAGGGCCTGGGCATTGGCATTAAGGAGCTGTTTGCTGGGACAGCAGTGCTGAAGGAACCCCTGTTCTGGTCCTTACTCATCTGCCTGGTAATCTGTGTCAGCGTTCAAATCAGTTACCTGAACAAAGCCCTTGACATCTTCAACACCTCCCTAGTCATTCCCATCTACTACGTCTTCTTCACCACCTCCGTCATGGCCTGCTCAGCCATTCTCTTCAAGGAGTGGTTGAGAATGACCACTGATGGAGCAGTTGGAACAATCAGTGGGTTCCTCACCATCATTTTTGGGATCTTCCTCCTCCATGCCTTTAAAGACATTGTATTTAGTTTTGATTCCCTCCCACTCTTCCTGAGGAAGGGTCCTCAGGGCTTTCCATGGGGGCCCCAGCCTTATGTGGCTCTTCCCAGCCATGACACACAAGCAGAGGATGAGGTAACACTGCCCAGAGAGGGAAGCTCTAAGGGGGGGTGGGGTACACACCAAAGAGCTCCTTAAGGAGGATAGTCTTTCCACTATTGACAAAAACTGCTTATAACAATCCTAAAGCTTTACTGCACATCACAGCCATACAATGTGAGAGATGAGTTGCTAATAGTCATGTTATAGTTTTACATAATGCAGTATGCACTGGATGAACATAGTTGAACATATTCTTGTCAGCACACTGGATTTTATATTAAATGTTTCTTAGTTGAACATGATGGTACATTCACATCTTTAGTAAAAAAAAAAGCCAGATAGAATTATGATCTGAAGTATAATGTAGGTTATAGCTAATTTGTTGCACTGCTCTGTACATGTTGTATTGTTTATAGTATATTAAGTTTAAAAATAATGAACATTGAATAGCCTGCATAAACCAAGTGTGCCTTGCTACTGTAAACAATAACTGTATTCATAGGTTAACACTTTTAAATAAGCATATATTGAACACATTTATAATTTATAGACAATGCAAAAGCAGGAACAAAAACTACCCTGAATGCATTTCAATCATCCGTTGATGAAGTTTGAGTAATACTTTGACCTGTTACTGTAATACCTCATTGTACACAAACTGCACCAAAGAATGTTTTATTTGTCCCTGTGTGGATTAACTTCCAGCATGTGCCAAGCTGTTACATATCTATGATGTAAGAGAACTTTGTGTGTGTTTCATAATGCAGATTAAAAACACAGCAACAACATGACTTGACTCAGTGTTTCCAAAAGATAAGACAAGATGATTTGGCATTATGTTTATTGCATATGTACAATCCAGATCCTCACGCCTTTAGGGTCAAGACATCTGTTACTTCTCTTAAATTACAGCAGGTTGTGTGTTGAGTCCTTGTGGTTTTCAAAATCAGACAGGTGAGTCTGAATGTCCTCGTGATGCGTCCGTCTGTCTACAGTCGCCCACATTCAAGCTCAGTATCCCAGTTTAACCAGAGGCTTGGAAAACAGAACATGAGGTCACTGCTAGCAATAGATCACAATCTGAGCATGTTGCCTTAAACTCTAAACTTCTGCATCCATACGTTTTGTTAATCTGAGGCACTTGTAAGAAATGTAACATTTATTGTTTTTCCTTTTCCAGTTGAACAATAAGTTCATTTCAGACGGCGGTGTCAGCCTCTTCATGGAGCCGGGGTCACGTGCATGTGTCTCATCAGTCCTTTCAGTTCAGACAGTTTTTATTCCAACATGCTCTCAGAGTATGAGCCCTTGCTCTTTTGAGTCTGTTCCAGCCTATTTAGGATGAACTGGCTGGTGTCTATAAACCGCTCCACGCAGTTAACGAAGCACATTTCTGTCCTGGAGTCCAGTTTTGGACCGGGCTTATCCATACATTTGTCCTGGAGACAGAGAGACAAATTCAAGCAATGTGCAACAAATGATGCAAGGTTTATCACAAATAGTATACATCACAGTTATCAGAAGTGGTGTAACACACTTAACATTAAGAAGGGATTCTCTTGCATTAGTGCATTTCCCCAGCACCTATCTCTGTCCATTTTGTATTGTACCAAAACGCTCCAACTACTAACAAGGGGGAGTTCAAACATAAACTGGCGAAAAACAAGGCTTTTTCTTATAGGTTTTGCATTAAACAACGTTAGAGACATGCATCTTATAATATTCACAAATACATCCCACAAACGTGTAAATCTCTATGGGTAAGATTGGAGAAATTATGATTTGTCTGTTTTATCGTTGCTCATTATGTATAACATTTTGGAAAGACTGGTCTTGATTTAAGCTTAATAGAAATTAGAAGTGTACATACAAAAAGCTGAATTTCTTAATTCAACACCATATTTGAAGTGGTTTTTCACTTAAACGGAATGATATTTAGGTCTTTTAAATTTGAAACAAATAACGAAAGCATGTCGGTCAGTGGCAACACATATTCAGATCTTTATCTGAAGAAGTTTTTCACCCAAAAATGTGTCTCTTGTATTTTTATAACGTTCTCAAGTAGCTAACTTTTGTTTCTTTATTACCTGAACTGACTGCCTGTTTACTTTCAGTCCAGTATCATAAATTCAACTTGTCCACACTTCTCCTTCTCCGTTGCACTGACGTTAGCTACAGCAGGCCGGGGGAGTGACAGTGGCTCTCCAGGGTAATGTTATTCAATATGTGTCTTACTAATATTTATTAGTTACACACAAATAGTACACACTTCTAAGATCACGCCGACATTTGAAGATAAAACCTGCAGCATCATAAAAAGGTAGAAACGCTTATGTTTCACATGCTGTGCAGGGAGAGCTATTTGACCGAAACCCGGGGAGACATGGAGTGCACTGGGTCACAAATGTGGCATGAAGTACATTTCAGGACAATATTGACTAAACTAATAAAACACATACTTTAATGTCGACATTAGATAGGCTAGCTAACAGTTGTAGCTACAGACAATATGTAAAAAGTTCATTGCAGAGCTGCACTGCTAGCTTAAAGCTGATCTTACCCAGCAAACCTCAGTCATCTGATGCACCAGCTGCTGAAATCTTTGTTTCTGAGTCTCGATTTCGATGAAATGCTGAAGCTGAGGGTCCGCTGTAGCTCCCTGGCTGTTCATATTTCCCTAAAAACCGACCGTAAGAGCAATATGTATCCAAATATGTAAGCCTTGCGGCTCTGTTGCTGACCTTCACGTGTATGTATGGACGACAGGATGTAAGAATTACTTCAACCAATCACAGAGCACGTTCTTCAGGTGATTGTCATCATCATTCAAGCGTCATTTTTCATAACGGCCATTTTCAATAAATTACCCTTTGGTTTATTAAACAAATAATACCACTTTATCTGAAAGTATTATTGCTATTTTGGATTATAATGTTGGATCAACAGCTCTCTAAGATGTTTTGATGTTTTGTGTAATTTCTATTTCACATGATAATTCAATTTCAAAGCCCTGCATACTTAGCTTTTATTTGTGCAATTAGATGCTCTAACAAATCTTGTTTCCACATGCAGAAGTGTCTACAATTCACACTGATTTCACGGAATACAATACACAGAGTACAATAAAGAAAGAACACCTTCAATAAAATATACACATATATATGTACAGTATGACTGTACTTCTAGTATTGTAATAGGAAGGCTTATGTAATCAGTGATTAAAAGCAACACTCATATTTCCCATAATTCACATTACAGAGGACCTCAGTGTGGCTGTGCGGTCCCATGTGCAAGCTGTAAACTGGTTCAATGCTTGTGTTTCAGGGACAGCTGGAGATGCTGTAGCGGGATCAACTGTCTGTTTGTGTTGATGTCTTTTGACTTTTCTGAAATCTACTGGAGCTCGTACAGCAAATCCTGAACAGTCAGCGCCAGCTCCTGGAAGGTGGGTCTTTCATCTGCTTTCTGAGAACAAAAAAGAACAAAAAAAGAGGCTGTGAGATTGGTATTCAGAATCTCTTTTTTGTATGATATGCAATCCTCAGTCTGGACTAAACCCTCTGAAGCCTACAACCCAATACAAAATCCACTTACATCCATCCAACAGCTTGTCATAATGTTGTAGACCTTCTCATTGGCCAGCTGGGGGCGGAAGAGGCGCAGGCCCCGGGACACCTGATCCACTATTTCCGTGTTGTTAAGGCGCTCATACGGAAGTCGTCCCAAAGTGTACACCTCCCACATAAGAACCCCTAAATATGAATAGAAATAGTTATTAAAAATGAATGTTTCTTTAATACAGATGTGACTTCATAGTTTACACTTGACCTGAAAAGCAGGGGGAATTCAAAAACACATACTTTACTCACCATATGCCCATATGTCTGACTTGCTGCTGAATTTGCAGTAGAGGAGGACCTCCGGAGGCGACCAACGCACAGGAAACTTGGATCCTGCTGAGCTTGTGTACTCATCATCTAAGACATACCTAAAGCAGTGGTGGAAAAGTATTGTCCGAAATGTATTATCTGAGGATAAACCCCTAAAATAATATACATCTGAAAAAAGTACAAAAAGAATATCAAAGAAAGTTATCAAAGAAACAATACTCATTGTGTTTGAATAGCATGTTAGAATAGAATAGAATATAATTCCTTTATTGTCATCGCACCAGGTACAACGTTACTGTATTTGGTTGAGGTTAAATTAATTTGAACTTCTCTACACAATGTTTTATATTTAAGTTGATAATATTTGTGTATGATATCTTACTATACAAACCAACCAGTCTCTTTAAAATAAATGTAGTGTAGTTGTATCATACAATTATAATACTCAAGTACCTCAAAGGTCTACAAAACAGTAACTATTCAACACTAACCTTTCTAGTAGGCACTAATATGCCTCTGAGTGTCCTTAATTCATGGGAAATGTTTTACCTTGACAGTCCAAAGTCAGTCACTTTGATGGAGCCATTCTCACCCACTAAACAGTTTCTGGCAGCCTGTGGACAAAACAAACAACCATCTTGATCTAAGATGAATCATTTACTCATTAACTGTTATTCACACATACCTAATCCCAGTACATATCAACATAGCATGATGCACTGATCCAGAAATGTACAGAGATATGTGTCGCTCAGTTGTAAATGTATGTCTCTCACCAGGTCTCTGTGGATGTACTGCTGTGACTCCAGATAGGCCATGCCTTCGGAGATGTCTTTACACATCTCCAGGAGCTGCACAGCAGTGGGGTGCTGCATCAGGCCCTCCTTGAGGTACGTCAGCAGGCAGCCATTAGAAAGGAACTCAGTCACTATATAAATGGGTCTTTGTTTGGTGCACACGCCATACAGCTGTACCAGGTTTTCATGCCGTAGCTTCCTGGTTTAATCAAAAGGAGAAGGAAGTTAGGTATTATGTGTTAGTTTTTCTCAAAGTTATAAACACTTCCCAGTGTGACACATCACAACGTTTCATGAGTCTCGTGCACGAAAGCATCACTATTCTTTTTAAACACAGACAACTAAACTGTAGCAGCTGAATGACTAAATCAAATAATATAAGCTCCATAATCAGACTTAAATTTGCTTACATCATGATTTTGGCTTCTTCTATGAAATCATCTTCAGACATGGAGCCTTCTTTAATCATCTTAATGGCAACGTCATGCTGGCCCTGCCACTTTCCATACTTCACCACTCCAAACTGACCGGTGCCCAGCTCCTTGATGAAGGTGAGGTTATGGGGATCAATCTCCCACTCACCTGAAGCAAAAAAGACAAGACTGAAGAGCACTGCTATACTGTCAGCTTCTACATTAAAGACATTTTACAAAATACACCTTTTTGCTTTTTTGCAACAGGCTTACAGAAAACTGCTTTTTTAAACGTATGTAAAGGTCTTGGTGGAAGTTTGCGCCCTCCCAGTGTCCTTTTAGTTAATATATTATATATTTTTAGTTGAGTTTATTCATAACATGTTGTACTGATTACTCAAACACTATACAACGCATTAGCTTTAGAGGTGCTAGAAGTCCCAAGAGCAAATATATTTATTGGCCAAAATGTCTGTACTACAGAGAAATTGTGGTTTATAAATTGCACAGACAAATACAGACATTATGATTAAAAATATTCATTTATAATGATCTCTACAGAGACCGCTTGTTTTTGTCATTTGAGGACCTTAAGAAACAATTTAACTTGACTGATAAAGGGGATTTCTGGAAATATCTACAGCTGAGGAGCAGCGTTGGTTCGGTATTTGGACGGACATGGGATGAGGAAGAAGAGAATAAGATTCAAGAGTGTCTAAATTCTCCCCATACTCTACACTCTGCCTCACTATTCTAGAAAAATGTCACATATTCAAATTAGACTATGTGAAGCCCTGAGAAAGATATGGCAAAAAGATCTTGGTCGTGAGATTAGGGAGGATCTATGGCAGGATATAGTCTCGAATGTATGGGCTACAAGGGATACGAGAAGCAAGTTTATCCATTATAAAATTGTGCATGGATATTATTTTACACCCCTGAAATTGTTTTAAATGGGCTTAACTCAGGACAATGAATGTTGGAAATGTAATAGACAAATGGGCACATTTCTTCATGCTCTATGGGATTGCCCAAGGGTACTGCCATTTTGGAAGGTGGTATTAAAAAACCTTGAAGGGTGGCTCAGAAAACCTCTACCAGAATCGCCACGGTTCTGTTTGCTGGGGGACAAATCTCTTGTGCCACCAGGCCTTACTAAAGCAGAACTTAGACTGACTTTAACAGGTTTTATTGTAGCTGCCAGGCTTATCCTGCACAACTGGAAGAGCCCACATAAGCCAGAGTTTACAGAATGGCTTAAACTCATGACAGAAACTGCGGCCTTTGAAACTATGATCGCCAGGGTAAATAATGTCCCAAGCAAATCTAATGGAGTGTGGCACATCTTCTTGGCCTATATCAAAGGTGCATTGTCCTAGGGAGGGACAGGAAGTACATTTGTATATGTGTACATGTACATGTGTGTGTATATGATGTATTTGTTGTAAATGTGTATCTACATGCTTTACGTTGAATGTGTGCGCAGGTGTATGTAGGCATGTGTGTGTGAGAGAATAATTTTGGTGCCGGGGGGGGCGGTAATACAAATCTTAATAACATTTATATAGTATTCATCTTACCATAGCCAAGTCCTGCTGTTGATGGAGGCAGCGCCCGGTTGGATACAATGTATTTCAGCCTGCTAACCATACCTAGTGAGAGAGATTACAAAATATGTATGGTACATTTCTGGGATATACAGATTTAGACTGCTTCTATTGTGTTTGAAAATGATACAATAGTTTGCAACTGTATAAACCTGCTGCATTGTGCTGGTGGTAGTTGATGAGCTCTGGGATGGTGCTGAAAAAATGCCTCTCTGCCAGGTAGAACTGGCCCTCGGCAGTGGTGCAGATGTTGTAATGTCTGCAGCATCCACCTGTTTCCCTATGAAGAGAAAGAGAAGAGTAACTTAAAGTAGATATAGTCACCGTTTATCTTGTGTGCATGATTGGGTAATATCTTGTCAGCTGTCACCATAAGGTAATTCATTATAATAGAGCCATGTCATAAAAAAGTTCAGCAGGCAGATTAGTCCAGGTTTTGCATGAATAATTTACATCTCTCTCCCTCTGTGGCCCACTGTTTCCGCTTTCATTACAAACAGTTCTTCTTTTGATACGTTCACACATGACTGGAACCAGTGGATACAGTAGCCTATTGCAGCAGAGTTCAACACCACCAGCTGACTCACCCGCCACTCTTAGTGAACAAAGACACGGTGTATTTCCCGGCCTTGCTTGAGTCCCGTACCAGGAAGCCTCCGTCTTTGTTCTGGGACACAACACACAAGCATATCATTTGGTTTCCAATTGAATTCAGTCCAGCTAAATTTGACTTTTATCATTGTGTATGTCAGTCATTGATTTTACCTCAGTCTTTAACAGGTTTTCTGCCTGGCTACGATTCATATTCTTGGAATACCAGCTGTGAAAATAAACGTCATTATAATTCGTTTTTCTAAACATTTATTGCTTCACAAATGAAAAACATTTATGTACAGACCTTGTACAGATCTAGCATAATAACGATACATGAGGAAATTATAATCTAGTGCCCATACTCACTCAAATCTTTCCAGCCCATTTTCGGCTTCCACAACATAATTACAAGGTATATATCCTTCTTTTCTGCAGAAGAAAATAAAACACATTGTATTTAAAAATAATAAAAACAAGTCTGGAACTG